GTAACTGGCCTTTGAGAACTGCACTAATACATTCCATAATAAAAAAATATAATAATAATAATAATATAAAAAATTACATGCATTCATAAAATGAGAGCCTCCAACATTATCTTGCATGAAGAGCGTAAAAGGAACAACTGTACAGAGGTAATTACAGGCCTCTGTTGAAGGAACCAGTACACCCTCATCATACTATACTTAACACACAATAAGCCATAAATTTTAACATGCATTTACCATAATTTCATATTACTTATCTGTAATAATTTCACTTATTTTTTACACCTACTTCATTTTTAGAATAATTATAAAATTAGTATTCAAAATTCTCAACAAAATTTCAAAAACATAAAAACTTATCTTAATATCCTTCCCTATGAGTAATTTAAATAGCTTAAAATTCATTACTTAATTTTCTCCCACGTAATTATGAAAAATTAGAAACATTAATGAACAAGAATTTCAGATTTTCTCAAAACAAATTGCAGAAATTTTAACCAAAGTTGAATTGAAAACTATAGAATCCGCAGCACATTAAATAATTTAGTTCCTGAGCTAGATTCACACGAATGTAATAATTTTTGAGCTGTTGAAAAAGCGGAAGTGCAAATAATTTTCTGTCGCACATACTTGCAAACACTAACTCAGATCGACCTTGAACCCGCTGTAATGCTTAATTTCTAAACGGTAATTCACTGATGATTTCCTTTTCACTAGGCATTCGAACTTCTCAATTTATCGAGAGATTACTTTCAATCTGTAAACACTACGCGTGATTATTTTTTTGAAGCACTTGCAAAACACCACAGCAGAAGAATGATCTGTTATTTTTTAAACACTGAAAAAACAAACTTGATGATTCACTTCTTTCACATTATCTTGGATTTATCACAAAACGATCATTTGAAGAGCTGAATTAAATTTTCCATTGAGGTTTCAAGTTGCAGGAAACTATCCTTACCGGCTTAATTGTAATCATAAAAGCAAAGGAAGGAAAAACGGAGCAGTGTCGATGCGTGATTAGACCCATATTGAAGAAGATTTTTGATTGCGTAGTATTTAAAGAACTTGGCAGTCGAAGCAGTTTTAATTCCATTTTTATTTCCAATTGATATTTGTGGCCACAATCACTTGGCACTCTAGTCGTGCCTTTCCACAGAAGATTTACATTTTTGATATTGTTCGGACAGATAGCAAGCCAGCGAAATTACATCTTAGCACAAGTAGAGAGCAAAAGCTGAAGTGCGTAGTTATGCAAGATGGAGGCACGCGAAGAGAAAAGTTTTGGTTTACAAGGACAGTTTCAGTTCCCAATGATTACGTCATCAGAGCTGCGCCGATCATAGAGTGATCTAGAAATGACGCAATGCAAAGAAGTTATTACGAATTTAGAATAGAGAGGAAGAATTAATGTTTATAGTTATATTATAATTCTGATTCATACATTTTTATCTTACATATATATAGTATATATGAAGGAGTCATTAAAATTCCAGGAGTCGGTCATTTTCGCTACCGACTCCACAGCCCTGCATTCATAAGGTGGAAATCAGGACCAACTGCTGCAACATAGTCTCACTGTAGGGTGCAGAATTTCATCCTGACACTGTGAAGTGGTCACAGAACCATCTTTAAACATATGCAGTCGTGTATGATATCCCTTTGAAATTCTAGCTCAAGCCATGATGCTGCCTTCTGTGAATGAAACATGTTCAGTGACATTCTGGGCCTGATTGCATATGCCTTGTTGTCTCCAGATCTGTACATGCTTATGTGATTCCAGAGCAAATCTGGATTTATCCATGAAAAGAATATTGCACCAGTCTGAGACAGCACAATTAGATGCTGATGACACAACTTTAATATTGTCTTTCTGAATTGTACATTTAGTGGAGTACAAACATTTGGTATTCATGCTTATAATCGCTTCATGTGAAGCCTTCAGTTAACAGTACTGTCAGATATTTTCTCGTCAAGTGATGCTACAGCCGTAGATATAATGGTTGCAGTCGCCATTCTTCAAAAGGAGTTGATCAGGCTCATATTTCCGGACAACAGTTTGACTTGTTTTGAATTCTCGTCACATCTGTGAAATTATTGAATGATAAATGCCGAAGTAAAAAGTGATATCTTTGATTTAATGTCCTGCTTCAGTGCATCTGACAGTATGGCTAGCACTTAAAATCTACCATTTGTCATCTCTCAGCAAGAGAAACATGAATATTATCAAAAATTATCCTACAAAAGTTATAAACACTTATATAGCATGTAAATGAAATTCTTCAAACCTTTCAGAATGCTGGCATCTTTAAAGACTGCATAATTAGCATATATTTGGACAATTAATTGTGACTGCCTGTAACATCTAATATTTGTATACTGCCATCTGCATCCACAGTGATTTTCAGCCGCTCAAATTCCAAATTTTGCAAATTTAATTTGAACTTTTGGAAGATGATGTTCAACAACCATTTTCAGAAATGATGGTGCACTAAGAATTACATAAAACAGCAACTAATTAACAAAATTAAAAATGCAAGAAAACCTCCATGTAAAAACATAGTTTTTTCACTCCTGTCCTCATATATAGAGACTTACATTAACTTAAAAAAATACCAGATAATTACAGAAATTTGGTTTCGTGCACAACTTGACTCTGGGCACACTTTCTGCACCATGTATACAGTGATGTATTTTTCCCTTAAAAAAATATCAGAGAATTGCACAAATTCTATGTTTTATAAATGCAGCTTTATGAAATACAAATTTTGCATTCTGTATTGTTGAACATTGAATTTCTGAAGAAATTCCATGATTCCTTTTTCATCAGGTTGCAAATTCCACCAATCCCATTACAGTTCCCTACAAAAAAAAAAAAAAAAAAAATACTGGAATGCAACAAAAACGAACACTAATCATAAAAATAACTCAAATGCTGAACTGTGAATTCGTCTACTGTGCACACGCATGTTTTGGTTAGTTCATAAATACCTTATCATGGCATTTTCTGTTGCTTATCTTGGTGACATAGTATGCTGCATGGTGAATTCTTTTCACAGAGTTAGCAGATAATCAGAGAATACCAGGACACATTTTACCTCACATTTGAATAGTTGAAAATGTCCATTGAATAAAACTCGAAAGAATGGGTTATTTCAAAGCAGGAGACACGAAAAATGAGCAATGCCTTCGCCGGGACTCGAACCGCAGACCTCTCAAATATGCTTCGAGTGTGCTGACCACTACATCACGAAGGCATACTAAGAAGGCAGGAGAAATACCTTATAAAACTACATATTAATGAAAGAATTTGGAGGTGCAACATGAAATATTGCAAGTGAGAGAGAATCATACATTTTGACAACTGGTTCAGCGGTTTCAGAGTAATGTTCAGTTTATTTACTATTGGTGACTAAAATAGTTTTAGGAGGAGGTGTAATCTGACAACCAAATAAGCAAGCAAGTGGCTTGCTTATTTGGTGAAAAAATTGTGGACATAAACAAAAGTCTGTTTTCATGAGGAAAAATCGAAACTGGTGGGGTTCTTCCACAATACTGGATGTTTGATTAGTTATGCTTAGAAACTTGTGAGTTACTTCTTGCTCAGGATCTGAATAGAGAGGCAACCATCTATGAGAAGGATTAGTGATTTTATTTAACTGTTAGGCAGCATATAAAATAGAGGAAGTAGATTAAGCAGAGGCATTTTACTGTGTGTATCAGCTGCTTGTATTCAAAATGTTGGAAGACTGTAGTGCTTTTCTAAGTGGTGGAATCAAAGTCAACAAGGCATGGTTTGCCATCATAATTAGTTTTACCGTGCAGGGTTTGTCTAGCAAAAGGTCTTGGGATGAGAAAAATGCCTCTGTGCCTTATTATGTGTATGTGATTAAGCCTTGAGAGCTATCTACCTAAGGGGAGGGATGCCTTCGTGGAGGACTTTTTAAGGGAAACTGGCTCGTATATACATTACACGTGGGGAAAACACCCATGCAGCCAGCCCGTTCGCGGGATTCGAACCTCGGACTGAACCACCAGTCTGGTGCCTTATTAAAAGTAATTGCAAAAACATACAGGGCAACCACAAAATGTGTGTAAATGTAAACTTGGCAACAAACTGCCAACTGGATGCTTAAAAATGATGCATTTTTCTGTAATAAGGAAGTATGCAATACTAAAGAGAAAAAAAAATTAGTAACAGCATCTCATCATATTGTATCGTTTCAATAAATACTTCATAAATTTGAGTTGTTCCAGCTGTCACTGTGTTAATTATTCTTTGTGATACTCTTTCAAATATTAACTGTAATGTATATTTAACTGTAAATGTACATGTAAGAGATTTGAATTTTTATTTATTTATATGGGGGGTAATCATTAGCCTGTTTAACAGCAAAATGCATAACAGAATTCAAGAGAATAAACAGTGTTCTTTCATTCTGAGTAAAATAAATCATGATTTGAAATGAATCAAATGATTTGAAGCTGTTGCCAGAATTTTATTTTAATAAATAACCTTTCATTAATTAGATTGTGTTTGTGGTAAATTAAAAGTATTTCTGAAGTTTTCTGATTATCTGCACCCATGGTTTTAACATGCAGAAAAATTGCCGTGTTTTCGGCATATTTTCAAATGCACATGTGACAGTAGTCAGTCTATCCATTATGCACGTGGAGAGTAGCATGCTTTAACTGCTGTTTCATTGAATAGTATCCACCAACTTTAAGAATGTAAATATTGGCCTCTGAATTCCTCATAAAAGTTCTAGTTTCTTTTAAAATAGTTCTTTTTATTGTTATTTTATAAATAGAACAGTAGCTGTGAGTCTTGAAATTAACCAAATAAGTATTTCTACCAGTTCATAAAGTCACTATTGAACTGGTAACTTTTTATGGGGATGTGAATAATCAGAAAGTTTATATATATATTTTGGAAAATTTATGCATGTTTTGATAAATTTGGCATGTAATATAGTTGAATATTTTTTTTTTTTTTTTAGGTATCATAAACTCATGAGATGGCCAAAAAAATGAAAACACAGACTGTTATCGAAGATATTAGTAGTGATGTTGAAATTTTGAATCATATGGAGTTAGATGATGCAGATCATAAGTGTTTTTTATGCATTGAAGGAGAACGTTTGATAAAGGAAATATGTCGTTTTGGAAATCAGTCGGTTGAACAGTCTGATTATAAAAGCAATTTGCCATGTGATGATCCCATAAAGTCTCACTTTAATACTCAGATTCAAGGACAGTCTAAATCAATTTTAAATGAATCTAATACTATTAATGAAGAAGTGTCGAATTTAGAGACTTTGAAAAAATTATTTACGTGTAAAGTATGTCATAAAACGTTTAGTGAGGCAAGGGGCCTCAAAGAACACATTACAAAATTCCATAGTAGTATTACTTATTCATGTGATGTATGCAAGACATCTTTCACTGATGTTACAAAATTCAGACTTCATTGCTCAGAACATGTTGATTCAGACAATGGATTGTTTTTGTGTTCTACCTGTGGAAAAAAGTTTCTATGGAAAAGTCTTTTTAAACAACATACTTGTGTTCATACAAAATGATATATATGAATGTGGCTATTCTGACATTTGTGACTTTTAATCACCTTTGAATTAAATTTCTTGTTCTAGATTTTATTGCAATTTAGCAAAAAGAACAGTCCAATAAAGGACTTATTTTTTCCTATACAAATAAATATTTTTATGTAAATTCATTGTATTGTTTTCCTTTTATTGTTAAATAAATTGTTATGTTTGCTTTTTTAAAAAATATATACTGTATAAGTAAGCAAGATTATTAAAATAATATACTGCTTAATATTTCAAGAAAAGAATAATTTCTAACACTGCAGACTGGAAACTATTACTTGCATATTGTCAAACATATTGAAAATTATATTTGATGACGTTTTTTGTCCACTCTTACGGGGTGGGGAAAACTCTTGACGTAATCAAATTAAAGTATGTCTAATTTTGTTTTTAATGAAATTGTAAACCTTTCCAAAAAATTCATATGCATACATTTGAATTGAAAATCTCCGTTCTTTTTTTTTTTTTTTTTTTTTTTTTTGATACAGTCAAAAGTCTTTAATCCGGACTCGTTGGGACTACGGCGATTCCGGATTATGGATCATCAGTTTAAATTTGGTAAGATGGCATGCAGAAATTATACAATTAAAAATATTAAACCGTAATTTATGAAAAAAAGAGCAATTATGATCTAAAGGGTATCAAAATTTACAAAAAAAAAAAGCTTAATATTTATTTTTTTACTTTATTAAACATTTCTCTCAACACGCGCATGCGTAAAACGTACATTACACATAGTCGAAATTAGAAAATTGCAACCAGAAAACTATTTGATGTGTATTTGGGATATTTATAATGACAAGGAATTTGATTTAAATCATATCAAAGACGGAGTACATCGAGATGAAGTACTACATTTAGTAAGGAATTATAAGCCGAGTAAAATAAAAACATCTGCCCTGAAGATAAGGATAGTGCTGACAGATCAACTTCCAGTTCATTGCGCGCCACGACGCCCCCCCCCCCCCCCCCCCCGCAGAGCAGCGTGAAATTGATAAACATATTTCGGAATGGTTAGAGAAACAAAGGATATGCTTTTATCCATTTTTTGCAGCAATTCCACTTTTTGTTTGATGGACATCGAAACATGCTTTCCTTTGGAAGCTCCAGAATCAGAAATTCTTCTTGACATAATCGAAAGTTCAAGCTTACTTTTATAAAATTGCTCTAACAGTCTGCAAGAAATAAGAAGCCGGATCCAATTAGAAGATTAAGGAACAACGCAATCTGCAATATTAACTGAAATAGAAAATTAGCTTAGCTTATACCGTCCGTTATACATTAAATGCATATGCGCATGCATAAAGGTATTATACGCATGCGCGGAAAGTTAGTATCTTTGAGGTCCGGATTATAAATCATTCTGGATTATGGACGTCCGGATTAAAGACTTTTATATTTTATTCTCAGTGTCGATTAAAGAATTAATGCTGTGACATGCATGGAGACTTTATTTGCCTCTCTTAATACACATTCCTTACATCTTATTGTCAAATAAAGCTGTTAATACTTTTATAATTTGAATCAGTAGCCCAATCTGCATTACTTTTATAATTCGTCTGAAAATTAAACTTAACTTTGTGCTCATGAAATTGTTTTGTAAGGTTTATCCTAAGTTTATAACAGTTAACTTTTAAGTTAAAGCTCCTTTCCTATCTATCCTAATTTCAGCTTACAATTTTCTTACCAGAATGTGTTTTTAGAATCGCGTTTAATGCAAATGAGTAGGAGTAGTATTTAAGTCGAAGTTCCACTGACTTGATGAGGGAGAGAATCAGAGTTTCCGACTAGCGCGCGTTCATTTTTTGGCCACGTCTTTGTAAGCTGTTACTACACTGGGCTGTATTACGGGCCCTTGATAGCTTTGCTAGCTAATTCGATATTTAGGGGCTAACTAGTTAGATTTGTGTTAGCATCGGCGACATCTCTTTAGTTAAGCATTAACCCTTCTTGAGTTTTACGTATCTGTTTCTGGACTTAAGCTATCATTCGCTTAGCAGTTCATTAGGTTCGTCCATACTTAAGTTGCTAGATAAGAGAGAGGAACAAGACAGTTTGATAAATTTGTTGACTGATTGAAATCTGTACTTGAATTAATTTTTTGCTTTTAGTTAAAAGAAGTAAGTAGTAAAGATGATATAAATATAGTTGATGCGGAACTTAAATCAAAACAAGTAATCAAATACGCAAATGGAAGTCATTCGAACGTCTATTTTTTTTATGTTCTAAAAACTGCCATGGTAACTCAATGCATTTTCTTGCACTATTTTGCAGCTGAGTAGGTGCTTCTCTTAGAGCGTGCAACACAGCACAAATAACATAAATTTTAAACACACTTCACCTATACTCTGTTAAGAGTAGGCTAAATATACAGGTCTAAATTTCTTAATAAGCATAACACAAATACAAAATTCAATCAAGTCACCATCCCTTCGAGCAAAACTACGTCTCATTTAAGATCCTTTCCCGATGAGGATTTACAAAATATGTGCATTTTGCATTCGCATGAAAGAATTGTCTTTTTCTTCCAGAGCTGATGTAAATTACTTTAGTCTTGTACAATTTTCGATGAGTCAAATTTTCTTTTGTACCAAGTTGGTTACCAGAAATTTCAACAAAATGTATAGGATAGCTAACATTTTCTTGATCAGGAAGGAAAGAATAGTCTGGAGTAAGAGGTCTGGGTTCATCCAACTCATTGCTTGCGTAAGTAAGGAGTCTTCGATTTATTATCAATTCCATTTCAACAAGAATGGTCATTTCCTCGAGTCTAATACAAGCCTTTCCAAGGATTTTCCTTAAAGAATCTTTATACTCCTCATGAGGAACCCACCTCACCGTAGAGGATGAGGGGCAATAAACTGCCATGTTATTTCATGTATCGCAACAAAAATTTTTGAAATCCAAATCAACCAAAATTTGGGAAAAGCTTTTCAAAATATCTGTGGTCTTAAAATCCTTAGCATTATCAGAAACAGCGACGCCGCCTTAAGAGCAAAATAAAACTTTTCTTCGACATGTCAGAAATTAATTTGATATTAAGTACTTTAGTAACTCTGTAAACAAGGTTGTGTATGACTTTTGGGTGCTTTTCTGTTATACTGTTTTAAAATGAATAGCTTAGTGAATTTCGAAATCTGCTGTGTTGAAGCCTACCTCTCACGTGAAAAATAGCGTTTTGATCTAAAAATGCAGCTAGCTGATAAAGAGTTGATTCCTTAGGAATTTGTTTACCAGCTTTGAGGTATTCGAATTCGGAAGTTCATACTTTATCCAGTCCTATTCTGCCTTTAAGTGTTCAACTGCTGTGTAACGTCCCATTTCTGCTTGTGGTTTTCTAAGTTTATTTACAAATCTTTTAGAGTTAATTTGCAATATCTATTCAAATCTAAAAGAAATTAAGAGTTCTTCACCGCACATTTATTTTGTGCTATGGTTTCAAATTCCTTTCTTAATTCTAAATCCTCATTAAGATTCAGTTTTTAATCTTACTAGTCCCAAACTCAAGATAAACTCAACCAAGGAAGTCTATGAACCACAAAGAATTTTCAGCTTAAGCCCGAGACCAAAATACCCCTGTAAAGGATATCTGAAGGATTTTCCTTGCCAGGACAATGAGCTTACTTGATAGAATAGGTCAAATTTTGAATTTCGTCTACTCTGTTTTTAACAAACGGTTTGTGTTTACTGGTCTTCCCCTTTATCCAAAACAGACATATTTTGGAATCAGTCCAGAAGTTACAATTTACATCAAATTTCTAGCAAGTCTAGAAAACAGTAAACATCCTAACAATTCCAAATGGGGAAATATGATACATTTAAGCGGAGAGACTATTCTTAAAGCATATAAAACTAGTAATTACTCTTTTGCCCTGAGTGATCATTCTCAAATATACTACTGACCTATATGCCGCCATAGACGCATCTGAAGAAGAGTGAATATCAAACGAAATAAACTGAATTCAAAAAAATGTCTGGGAGCTGTGACATTATTCAAATGTTTAACTTCACTGCACCACATCTGCCACTTGTAGCCCGGTGAAGGTGGGAGCTTACCATCCCAATCCATGCAGCTGTCCACAGTTCTTGAAGTAGCAGCTTTTGTGAAACTACACTGGTTATCATAAATTAAGGAAAAATCACAAAAATAGCGATAACTCCCTCAAAAATAAGCCAAACCGTGTAAAATTTGAGTATGTTGCCAATTAAGAGTAGCTGAGTTAAACTAATAGTATGCAAATTAGTGGCGCTGCACTCGGAATACGTCATCTGCGAGGAGAATAAAAGTCCATGTTTGAGAGCAAGCCCACATATTTCACTGTGATAGTGACATCAGAAATCTGAGATAGCCAATTCGTAACAATGACCTCCACGCATCATTTGCCTACGATGGAGAGCCATTGGGAGACTAGAGGCAGGATAAAGTCAAACAGAAGCGGCCAGATGGCTAAATGTGACTCCTTCTGTGGTTCATAGACTTTGCAGGCGATTTCAAAGCACAGATTCGGCCTCTAGGAGGTTCAGCCAAGGACGGCCAACTGCTACGACGAGCGCCAATGACCGATATTTGACATTATGTGCACGCAGGAATAGAACCGCTACTCCGACTCTTCTTAGATCCTTCCTTGCTGCAGCCACCGGAAGGTTGGTGTCAACGTCAACTGTGCGTAGAAGACTTCACGAAGGTGGTCTGTATGCGAGACGATGAGCCATTTGCGTGCCGCTCACGTCACGCCATAGTAGGGACCGTTTGCAGTAGGCACGACAACATGTCCACTGGACGCTTGATCAATGGAGGACTGTTCTCTTTACGGATGAGTCCAGGTTTAGTCTAGAAAGCGATAGTACGCGTTATTTGATATGGAGAGAACCTGGAACCCCTTATCTAAGGCTACTATAAAGGGGAGCTGAATCATCATCCATTTTGAAGCTAACTTGTTGGTATTCGCTATTGGATTAGCACTGATTTCTTGACATATTTGTGGATCGATTTCGACCTAATTTTCAGAAAAATGGGTGGTTGTGCTGCATCAAATTGTTCGAATCAGTCTAAAAATAACTTTAGGATGTTTCGTTTCCCTAGAAATGAAGAAAGACGAAGAAAATGGATAGTTAATTCTCGTCG